CGATAACTCATTCCGATACTTTTTTATCGATAAAAAACCTTATCGAAGATCACTTTAAAAATTATATCTTCTACATCTTTCAAGCTAGAGTCTCCAAATTTAAAATGTATATAAAGATGTATTTTACAGTTACGAAATTTAAGTAGATTCCTCCTCATTTCGGTACTTCCAACTGAAGAACTAAGGACTAGACTACAATTTAATAACTTTAATTAATTATATATTTATTTATTATTTTATTTACGACTCTTTTAACAATATCAACGAGTATTTCGATAAGATTTCAATAAATAATTGCTTGTAAACATCATTGCATCAGATTGACTTGAGTGCGCATATAAATCTTAGATCCGATGTAAGCCACTGCCTTAATTTATAAATTAAGCTCATTAGTTTGTGTGGGCTCCGCCTTGGCGCACATGCGCCACATGCCCAACGATCTCACCCTTGCCCTCGGCTTGGCCCTCGCCCCGGCTGTGGCTCCCTCTGCGTGTGGATATCAAAAGTACATAAAACTAAATAGATTCCTTCAGCGTCAACAACTTTGTCTGTCAACAGAAATGAATGGCTCCATAAATCACGGCAGCCGCAACCGCAGGCTGCCATCGCACTAGATCCCGCTAGGCAGGCTAGGAGCACTAGCACAAAATATGACAGCGTCGGGACTGCTCGGTTTCTCTCTCTCAATGCTCGCCGTGCCGTACCCGTTCCCGTTGCCGGCGCATGTAAAAAGGGGCGCGCCCAAGACATGCTGCGCTGACTTCAATTACGCGTACCAAGAATGTGGACAATGCGAGCGCGCATTGCCCAAATGCCTGGCGAGAGCAACTAAGGCAAAGACAAATATACAAAAACAAGCAATCATTGCCAATGTACTAGAACCGAATCCGCTCGCTGGCAGCTCAGCCTCAGCTCGCCGGCGACATGCATAAATTGTGTTTGGCCCGACGCACTTTGAACTCTGGAGGCTGCGGTTCCGGTCGTAGGTCGTCGGCTTCCTTTGGGAATATCGTAGCCATCAAGGGGTTAGTCTGAGTCAAGTTCTGGCATCTGGCTTAGGCATCATATTGATGGGCTCGCATTAATTACGACCCATGGGGCGCCAACACGTGCCCCCCACTTGCGGCAGATGCAGCGATTAGAAATGCATTAAACTTATGTTAATGAGCAGAGTTTCGCCAGCCAAGCGGTCATTGTTTATGCATATGGCATATATGACATATGACATATGGCACTGGCACTCGCACTCGCACTTGTCACCAGATCCTTTGGCAGCGGCTCCAAGTGGGCGGCCATCAGCATAATGAAATACACGCACCAGCTAGCAGCCGGCTGATTTAATTAAAGTCGCCTGTGCGGGCCAGCGACGCCATATAATCAAGTCAGTGGAGCGTTGACCAAAACTTGAACGCAATCAGGAATATCGGAGGGAACCAGGAGTTTTTACGATGCCCTGGCCGCACAGCTCTACCCATAATATACATATGTGTGTGTGTGTGTGCTTATATACAGTTCCATTAAGACGTGTACACATTGACGCGACTTTTTTCTCGCTCAAGTGTTTGCCTGCATTTGTGACCGTCTTGGTCGCCGTCATCTTCGTCGTCGTCGTCGTCGTCGTCGTCGTCGTCGTCGTCGTCGCAGTTGCTGTTGTTGTTTTGCTTGCCTTTTGTTTTACTGCCCATTTCTGTGATTTTAGCATCTCGCCACTGCGCCCGCTGGCAGCCTGTGGCAGGCTTTTATGTTTAGCTACCGAAGTAGATGGCTACCGGTAGCCGTTAGTCACGCATTTCTGCATCTACATAGCCATCGCCACTCCGACTCCAACTCTGACTACAACTCTGACTCCACAGACTCCGCTGGCTCCACTGCTCTCTGTCTGCAGCAGCGTCTGGCCGTTCTAAGCAAACAATGCGGCGCACAAACAGTTTGTCAAACTCATCCGAAACCAAGTCATTAATGCACCCAAGTGGAAGATCCCCAGCTTGGTAATGCTAAATAATAGTTACATTGATTACATTTAACATAAGCAGTGAATAGGAAAATGATAGCAGAAAAAGGTAATATAAACACTGGACTTATTCAATTATTTGAAGCTATATTAATACTTCAGGATGAAGATATTATATTTTATAAGCAAACATTTATCGAAGCGTAGAAAAAAAACAAATTTACTTAATTTATATGTATTATTTTTGGGTACATATATTTTATTATTATATGGAATTATTCTTATTAGTATTGTCATTATTATTATTTTTTTTTTATTTTACCTACGTTTTTCGATTTTATTATCAGAAACAAGTTTAAGATATTTTAGATATATTTTTGAGAAAAATAAAAGATTTTAAATTGACTTCATAAGTAAATAAAAAAATATCAAATCTATATTATTATTTTTTGTTTAAGAACGCATTGCTTTCAGCAAAGCAGATGTTTTCAAACCTATCCAACTAGAGCCTTAAAAAAATAGATTTCTATAAGAAGAAATCCAAGATTTTATTCCTGTTATTTATTCACTGTTCTGTTAAGGACTAGATAACTTGAACAACATCTCCTTCGACTGTATAAAGACTTCAGATAAAGACTATTTTCTACAGTCAATCGAAAAATACGACAATTACATAATAAGGGCACGTAACGCACCTGCTTAAGCGCATGCCAAAAAATATTGAAATTGCCTTTGTTTTGAAGATTGCGCTGAAGCTTAATTGTGGATCGATGTGTCAACAAATCGGACAGGTAAAACAAATCTCTACACGGCCAGCTTTTGGTCAGCTAAGTTATGCGGTACTTTTATTTTATTTTATTTTTTGTTGGTGCCTCTTGTTTTTTGGGCCAAAGCAAGTGGACAAACAGAGACACGGACACTTGACGGCAAAAGCGAAGACCACACGGCAAACACTGTGGCACAGACCACAAACATTACAACGATCATTAGTTAAATTAGAGGCAATGGCTCCGCGGCCAACGGCGACATTTTCTACTTGCCATCGCCCATCTGCAGCCAAAGCAAACAGTTGACATTGCTACCGGGAGGCTGTCGATCATGCGCAGAAGGCGGCAGGCAGCAGGCGGCAAGGGGCAAGTGGCGACGGCATCGCTGCCCATCTTGAAACGAAAATCAAAAAGCAAATACGACCATACCGAAAAGTGTCTTGGACTCGCACTCAACGGTAGCTGCTCCGTGTTTGCATTGGACATTGCGACACCGAGTCAGGTGCTCGCTTGGCGACTGGGTTAACAGGATGTAGCATGCGCCGAACCACTTTACCCATGTCCGCCTTGCGTACACGAATTTCCCCACTTCAGAAACGAAGATATGTATATTGAAGCTAAAGCCATAAATGCCGACGGAGATAGAGTATATATTGTGGATAGACCAAGAGTGATCTTGCAACTTAGCAAAGAAATGTATGAAAGGGATTACTACAATATACATTGTATTACCGTTGAATACTTAGACTACTCCGCCTCAACATACCTGGATCCATTTCCAGATTAAAGAACTCCACAATTGTATCTGCTTTAAGCTATCTCTGCTGATCTCACTTGACTCCAAATCCACTTTGAGTACTTTCCCTGTGCACTCGTTCCACTTTATTTAATTATAATCGAGTGGGTTAACCGTTTAATAATTACACTTGGCCGTATTGTTAGTTTCAATTAGGGCATGAAATTTGCACAAATTATCGGCGCTTGTTGCCGGCGCGACGCCAATTGGATTGCCAGATTGGGTTTCGATTGGGTTGGCGCTTCGCTTCGTTTAAGAGTCGCTTTTGGGTGAGCTACTGGCCTACTAGCTGGCTATACACACAGGTGAGTTGTTGAACCACAACTGAAAATCTGATTAGCACATTTTGGCAATAGATCTTTGACTTTCGTTCAATAATTATCACACACTTTTCACACCCGACTTTTTTCTGGTCACTTTAGATTAAATTTACTTTTATAATTTTATGCAATATATGAATAATAAGCATCAACGCTGGCCATATATTTTCCATTAATTAATTATGCATGTTTGTATTGATCGGCATCGAGCACATAAATCGCACTTATTCTTGTCACATGCAGTTCCGCATTAAAATCCAATTGCCCGTTTCTTTCTTTTCTTCCACTAGTAATCCGTGATCCGTGATCCGTGTGGGAGCAGCGCGCGTTTCACTTGTACAGACAGTCACAGCTCCCCAACTTGTTGTTGTTCATCACCCGTGTCTGCTGCGACTAACGGTCGCTCACGTTCATCAATCCACAGCCACATGCGAAAAGAACCAGCAGCCAAAGCTAGCAACGACAACGACGGCGACGGCGACTTCGACGCAGCATACCAAGATCTCGTTCTCTCTCCTTCTTTCATACTCTCGCTCTCCCGAGCTCAACGCCTGACTGCCACTGTTATTGTGTGTGTGAGTGCGCTTGCTCGTGTGTTTCCTCTTCACACTCGCATTCACATCGCACACACTCTCACTGAGGGCGGCGATCGCTTTGTATTTGTTGGTTTTAATGGCGCTGCTGCTGTGTGTTGGTGTGCGTGTGTTTAGTTCGCTGGCAAAATAACAAAAATGAAGAATGTCTGTTAGCGAACAGGAGCGCATTCACAGCAGTCAGCGCCCAACGTATGAAAGAACTATCAAATGAAATGTGGTTTTTCTGGTACTCAAAACATGAAATATAACTCAAATGCTCTGACAGTGTATGTATGGTGCTGTTACCAACTCAATTTGTATGAACCGATCAGCATATTTGATCACAAATCTTAACAATTACCCGCGATACGCTTCTGTACGTTACCAGCGATACATGTATGCATATCTATATGCGCCTGTGTTTGTGTTTGTGTTTCTGTGAGCGTATCTCTTGTAGTTGTGCACTCGCGTATCTCAGCTGCGCACGAGTAGTCTGCTCTTGTGACTCTGACTAACCATACGCAACCGGGCGGAGTTAATTTTTGAATGCTTGAATGGCCAATCTGAAGCAAGTAAGCGTATCCGTAGCGTTCCGCAGTGTGCCCGAGCGATGTCATGACTTTTTAGCATCACACACATACGAGGCCTGCAGTTTGTCTGCAGCTGGGAGGCGGGGCCGAGGCAGACCGCCTAGTTCGGCATCGCCTTTTAGCTGATGATCGCGTGCATCTATTTTTGCTTCATTAACGAAATCGTATCATTAGAGCGATCGTTGTTGCTAATAAAGCGGCGCAGGGCCATATCCCTTTTCGCATTTCCCCAAGCAGGAGGGGGTCATGGCCCGCTCCACCTTGTCTCTGGTGCGGCTGCTGTCGGCGCTGCTGGGACGCCGCGATGCTGGGATGCTGCATTTCGATTCTAGCCGAGGCGTTCTGCCTCGCATGGTTAGACTTAATTATAAGAAATGTTGTTGTCTTCATATCATTGTCACTAATATTTTATTTCGTCATTTAATGGTTGCTGCCAATTTCTGTTGTCGTTCGCTCATTAGAATGCCACCCGTCCCATGCCTTTCTCACTCTCGCTCTCTTTCGGTCTCTCCCTATCTCACTCTCTTTTATTACGTTCACATTTGCATCTTTCGGCCTGTGCGTCTGTGTGAGTGAGCGAGCCAGCGAACACATTGCCATTGTGTGCACTGCACACGCACACACTCTCGCCAACGAGTTGGACACGCCTCCTTGCGATCGCTTTGGCCTACCTGCGCGTACCTTTTGATGCGGATTCCACTCTCTGCTCTCTCACAGGCGAGCTCTGATGTTCGCCATTGTAATCGTCTATTTTGTGTGCAATTCTCTTGAGCTTTTACAATATAACAGAATATTGTGATGTGGTGATCCTGAAAATGTTAATAAGGCTTCAATTTCAATCAATTAATAATTTGTTTTTATTTATTCCATGCTCCCTTCCTATGTTTGCAATAAGAAATATTATTAAGCACATCATTTTTGTTTTGTTTTAACTATACCACTTTTTTTATCTATCAATTTGGCAAACAAATTTACTCGCATTATCTAAAATAATTTTTTTTTTTCTTGAATATCAGATTTGTTTTGTTGCCTTACTGTTTATTTTACATGTAATCATTCGTATATATGCATATATAATCAAATACATCTATATAAAAAATTAAAACTTAAAGCCGAAAATTTTTAATAATGCATAAATTGATCGTTTTGGATGTGCGTGCAACGTATATAATTATCCACTGAAAACATTCTAAAGTTAGAAGAAAACTCTTCTCGAAGATTCTTATGAATTTAAGTACGACTCCATTTGCTCATATGCCTATATTATAAGTATGACAGTAAGTTAAGTTTTCTTGACAATCGTTCAAATTGTGTATGAGTGTATGTGTATATGTGGCTGTGAATATGTATGTCCATATGGCGATATATGTGTATGCTTGTATATCAAAGACTGACCGCAAATAAACTAAATATTGCTCTCTGTCTCTGCCCTACTTTGCGATTCTCATGAATTCAAGTAAAATACTTCAACATTGCATACATTAAAATTCTGCATTTGTTAACTATTTCTATAAACAGAAAAATAAAGTCTGTTCTCATTACTTATTTTACTCTTTGTATTAAATATTTGTATTCAGCAATTAGATATTAAATTTTTAGTAATTACATTTTTTGAGTCACATACTTTTACTTGAGTATCATAAAATTTAATATTGACTGAATATGTGAAAAATATGTATATACGCAATCTGTTATAATTGGATAAGTTCTTATTTATTTTGTATAAATAATTACTTTCTAGGTTTTATAAATCGAACCTTATTGGATCTTAACTTTCTTTGGGACACCTATCGTTCATACTTCCTATATTTGTCTCGATATATCAATTAAATTTAAGAATTTTACTTACTTATGTTTTTAATAAGTATGTGATATTTTTTTCAAGTTAACTTTCTTACCCAACACTTGACAAAAAGAAAATACAATTTTTTAAATAATTAGCCATATGCGAAAATTAAAAGCTCCATGCAACGAAGACGATCCCAAGACGGAGACGAAGACAAAATTATCTGCGTTTAACAAATTGGGGAAGATGCTTTGAAGTTGCCGCCAACAGCGACAAATGACAAGCATAACAAATGAATATTATGTGTTTTTCTCTTTCTTATTTTTGTCTCATAACACCCAACAAAAATAACAATAACAACAACAACAACAGCCAGATCTTCGCCAAGCCGAGACGAACAAAAAATATGCTCAACACTTGAGAAAACAAAATATAAATGCGTAACAGAGGCAGCAGGAGCAGAGAGCGAGAGCAGGAGCGGGACTGGGCACGGGAACGGGAGTGGGAGAGTTCAAGTGTCGTGAAGTGGGCAAAATGTGCTATATAATTGACACATTCAGAGCAGCATCCAAGTCGGCACTCGCTTACATAACACCAAAGGCAAAGGGTGTAAACGCTGGACGGAAGCGTCAAATTGTCTACGCCAGCTCCGAGCACTTAAGGTGGGTTGGACAGCGTTAGAAGTGCGCCTGGTAACTAGTCAGTGATGAATATGTTGTACATCGGTCGGTCGGTCGGCCACTTGAGCGTTGCGTCCTGTGCCGTGGACATTAAATGGCTCAGCGCAATTGCAGTTAACGATGAATTATTGGAATAAACCTGAAGCGGCTCACTTGAGAGGCAACGCACCGCGACTGTCACCTGATCCGAGAGGTTTTCGCACCCGCGCACAGCTAACGACCCAATGAAGCTGTAATGTTACAACATTGCCCGCTAGGCCCGCTAGGCTTGCTAGGTGGGACAGGACAAGTCATCGGCTGTGAGTGTGAGAGGGTGGACATATGTTTCTACTTCTCATCGGTTTCAATTTCACAGGCCCGAATATCTTGCTCGCCCATTTCGTCGGGATTGGCTGAAGCAACGGAAAATGGGAAGCGCATCTTTCACGCCGATTTGAGTTTTGTTGTTGCTGCCTGTTTCTATTTCGAATTCCCATTCCCATTGTCTGGGGGGCGTTATGGCTTATAAATTTTAAAAATGCATTTTGGGTATTTTTAAGAGTTTTGCTTTTCCGGCAAGCATGCCGTAGTCTGTTTCAATATTTCTGTTTCGGTTTCTGTTTATTTATCAAAACACAATCCCCAGAGTCAATCATGTATAAGTTTAATATGAAAATGTTGTTGCACTTAAACTTAATTAACATTATAAATAAACAATTAAGCATGCCATTCTACAAATCGCAACATCCCTGCTGAATGCATCACTTGCATCTATTTTATTTTTATTTCAATAATAATTAAGCAGGCTTGCCCGCCCCAGTCAGCTCAATTAATAGTTCTTCTCTTCTCGACTGTCTCGGCTCTTACCGAATACTTAAGCCGTGTTTATAATTCGATTGTATTTTGTGTGTAGGGAATCAGTTAAACATGCATTAATAATGTGCGCGTATTTGATGTTTTTCGTAAATTATATTGTTGGTGTTAATTAAAAACCTTCTTCGACGGTTTGCCCAGGCCAGTTAGAGATGAGTCGGAAGCAACAATGGAGCCGCAAAGTTGTTTCAGTCAGTCGCCAGAGCTCACCTGTGCCAGGGGCACGGCTTTGTGGTTTCAAACAATAATTAAAAGCAAATAAACAAGATTTGTTCAACGGCTAATTGAAGCTCAAA